CTCGCGCTGTTGCAATTTTCGATACAAATATGAAAGTGGCGATTAAAATTTGATTTTGGCGATAACATTTTGGGGTACTGGCGATTCTTCTTGAGAACTGATCGTATATATCCTATAGATTAACCATTACATTGAGTGCCAATCACGTGGCGGAAAACTATAAATTAATCAATTCTCTTATAATTAAGAATCTTTTACAAATACGATTGAAATTTATATTATTCAGAAGGGGATTCAGATTCTGATGCCTTTACCGTACCTGAAAATAACAATAGGCCTATTGTACACGCAAAACCTACAGTTATAGAAAATTGGCTATCCTTGGATGAGAATTGACGTGTAAATACTGAAAATATATTGTGCAATACTGTGTGCAAATAGACCAGTGATTCTCAGCCAGTGTGCCGCGAGATCTTCCTAAGTGTGCCGCGAGATCTTCCTAAGTGTGCCGGGAAATTTTGAAAAATTTGAAAAAAACACGTGACCCCAATTGAGTATTCACTGATGTCTACTGATAAGTTGTTTTTCTTCATTTAGTTTGAGTCATTCTATATGTCTATGTCTAGTCTCTGTCTACGGTTGTATGCCGTCCGACTTACAATGTTTTCATTTTGCAAAATCAGATATTTTTCATATATATTTAGCTAGGTGTGTATTCCAAGGTGTGCCGGTGGCAAAAAAGGTTGAGAACCACTGAAATAGACTAAAGTAACCAAAAATAAAATGTGATCTTAGTAAATCATCTCAAAACTGGGCTTATGTATTTTGTAAAGACGGATTTTTTAAGTTGTTGCATATTGTAGTTATATCGGTAATTGTTTTATAATTGGCCCACCTGAGAAATAAAATTGTTACATGTTGTCTTTTTTATAACACATTTTTGGTAGATAAAATATTATAGTTGGCGGAAAAAATATGAACATTTTTGTAGATAAAAATTATCATCCATTTTGACGGAAAAAAAATTGAAAGCCAGAGTGAGCCCTTCTGTCCTCGATTCAATTGTCGTGATTTCGATCTCAGGTTTTTTCGTACCTCTGAACCTGGTGGATTTTTTTATGCTATATTTTACAATGTCTCCCTTCAAAGAAATGAAACGGGGTTTAAAATCATATTTTTCTGCATCCACTGGATATCGAAGACTTCAACTTAGCTTACGGTCTAATCGACACATACTAGGCTATTTCGGGACTGACATGTGGTACAATTTTATTTAAGTAACCCTCTCGTGCATATGGGTCTTTAGCAGTGAGGGGAAATTGCAAGACAAAGAGAAAACTCGCGAGGTTGAGCAGACGACCCTATTCCTTATCTTGGTTATAGTCGATATTCCACCACCCCAGCCCCTAATATATAGCCAATATCGATAGAGGATTTTTTTCTTCTTGTATTTTGGGGACATTTTTAAATGTATTTCATTCCATACCATATGTAGCATATTGTAGGTCAAGGACATAGATCATTATTATCTCAATGGGTGTTACTCAATTAGTTACTAAAGCTGTGTTCATTATAGTCTATCTCCTTTAGTGGTCTCAAATATCTCTTCTTATTATCATGTATGTTAAATAACCTCATTGAGATCCATGTAATATAGCACTGTGTTTAACGATAACCACCAACCAAAGGAGCGTTAAGAGAGTCACCCTATCCGTTTCTAACTAATGATCACAATCAACAAGTCGAGAACATCCCCATTAATCCGACCATTAACCTAATAATTACACCGTGACTAACTACATGCATTGTGACATAATAATTAAAATAAGTTCAATCGAATGTACCCTTCGTATGTTCATTAAAGGGGGACTCCCATATCAGTCAAGAAATGAAATAAGGTTTCACGCCGTACATAACTGCACCAAGACGACCGGAATAAACACGTGGTGTGCTATTTACGAGACAGCCTATACTTGTATTCGCAACCCCACTGCCAATGGATCTTTTATGTGCGCTGACAATATGTACACGGGACCTCACATCGATTCTTCGTGCCATCCGAACAACTAGGCATACATCCAATTCCAGTTCAGCAAGCTGGCAAGTGAGAACCAGACGTGAAGCATTTTTTCGAACCCGGTTGTCCTAAACACCGCGGTCACGTCATGACTAACGTTAAAATATCACGGTTATCTCTTCAGTTTAGGCCTACACGGGATCCTGACCTATAAAACACAGTTAACCTTGACTTATAACAAATGGCTTTTCATATCGACATTTTCTTTTAGGGAATAACAGTTCAAATTGTGGAACTCGATTCCAGAGAACATGTCGTGCTATTCAGTCAACCCAAAAGATCTTATATCAAATAACAAAATATGTCAAGAACAGTTTGATTTAGATACATTTATTTGGAATAACTGCCAACTCGGTATAAAAAGTACTTTGCGATTCTCATTGCCTAAAAAGTTACAGATAAATGTGTGATACTGATCTCAAGTCGATACACCTATCCGTTCTGTTAGAAAAAGACCACACATTATTATTGGAAATGAATGAACTGGTGTTTAACGTCCTACTTTTCTGCACTGGCTGGGATAATGAAGACGGGCATATGCCATGCAGTTAATTCGAATTGCAACTGTCAATGGTTCTTTAACGTATTCGCCAATGTGTACGCGGAACCTTGGTTTGTCGTCCCACCCGAACGACTATACGTTGTCCCTTTCCAGGCCCTCCGTCCTACACCACTGTAATGGGGGAACCACACCGGAAAATCCAGATGAACTTTCTCGGCCAACGCAAGGATCGAACACGGACCTCCATGTTAGCGAGCCAGCGTCTTAACTCACTGTGGCTCCAACACATATAGGAGCTTCACTGTTGTATCGAAGGAAAGGTACCCTAAGCGGGACGATGCGTGGGGATATTCGACTAATTTCTTGCATTAATACTATTTAATATCTTGGTGTAAGTGACATTGTTTCTTAAATGTTGACGAGGGGTTCACGACAACATTGCACCCTTAGCGGGGCGGGGGAGGGGACCCTTTTGGGCGCGGCACCTTTGTTTCACTGCACTGGAAAATATGTGTTTTTTCTGTGTTTGGCACAATTTTTTTAACATTTAAAGTATGTTTGGTATCAATTACGTCATGGTTTATTGGCGGGGGGGGGGGGGGGGGGGGTGGAGGCGGCTTAAAACTCTAGGGCCTCCACGGTCAGCACATACTTTAACTCGTTTGTTGAAGTCCGTGTAATAATTATTTTAGCCCGATACTTGCCTTTAAGGCCTGTAATAATAAATCTGAAGTAGGATCTATGAGAATGCATATCTCATACGCATATTGGCATATAAACATTGAGTTAATTAAACAACCATTTGCATAACAAATAAACACCATCAATAATACTGCATATTTATTAATGCGACTCATAGCATCCATAATCAGAGTTTATTAATTCAACGACCTTCATGATTAATTAATTATTATAATTAACCCAGTTATAGCCGAAAACGTAATGAGAAATTACGACCAGCTGGGTTATTTATTAACACGTGATCAAAACGTCCATTCATAATAATACGAAACTATCCAGTTCTAAGTCTGTTTTCTGTCTTAGTTAACTTAATAACACAACCATTTTACTGAAATAATATGATTATGTGAACAATTCTTAATTACAAAAGAGTAAAAAGTAACCCTAATAAATTTTCTTTGTGTGGCTGATGGAAAACTACTCAATTTTCCACTTAGTGGGATAATTGCAATGGATAAAATAAAGTCGTTGGAGATTTTAAATATTGATATGGTATAATAAAATTTATAAGTTCACCGCTGATGCTTTTAAAGATTAGATGAAAAGAATTTACGGTTATGAGTTTCTTGCTTTTACAAACGTTTAATTTGTTCGCTCATTTATTATGCATGATCGAACCGACATTTTGGTGGTCCAGTAGTAGATGTCATTATTAATTCGCCCTCAGCCCCTTCATCAGGGCTAAGATCTCTGGCACCGGATGGCAAAAAACCTAATATTTGAAAGATGTCACTCAAAAAATAATTTTACAATTACAGATTTAAATGAAAGTTAAAGACACACGCTAACGCAATATACGTGTTTATTTCGTTACTACATAAATGTGTGTTTTCTTGAATAGCTGTCAAAGACAATCTGTCTTTTGGGTCCACTGTGTTCCCTATCGTCCGTTCAGAATTATAATGCCAGTCTGAAAATGGCATAATTTGGCTAGACATTGTTCATTTCACGCCCGCTATAGGTGTTCCGCAGACATCTTCGAATATTCGTTTATTGCGTTGCAGGTATTTTCGTAATAAAAAAATAATAATCATTATATTTTATGCTTTAGCCAGACGTTTTTAATCTGTTTGTGAATTACTTTGAACACAAAAAAATTGTAGTCTAAACAACTCCATATTAGGAAACTTTCAACTCATGCTTTTTTTAAATTCCAATGTTTCTGTGATTCTGTTTTTGTGAAAGCAATTTTGTCAGGTTTACTGTTGAATGGCAACTAGCTAATGAATATGCAATTCCGAGGAGTGTTTTTGTCCGATTCTACAGACTAGGAACTTTTTCTTACGGAGTCCCCAGACGTGGAATCGGTTCTGATGAAATAGTTGGTTCTTTGTACAAAAAATCAACATGGATGTTTTAAAACTTTGGGATGGAATACTTGATTTAGAGAAAAGCATATAGTCATGTTATTGGTTGTGTGCGCATGGATAGAGATGCAACCCCTAGCTGTTCGGATGGTACGAAAAACAGAGGTCCAGCGTACATATTGCGGTGCACGTAACAGAAACCTTGACAATTCGAAATGCGAGTAGGCCGTTGCGACGCTACTCTGGCAAAATTTCCCACATAATTCACACTGCATGACATAAGCTCGCTTCATTTGCCCAATTAGTGCAGAAAAGTAGGACGTTAAACCCAATTTTATGTCATAACGTTTCTCTGTGCAAGTAGAAGCAAATTATCATTATACATACAATACGTTTAAAATATCTACACTTGTGTGTATGTGTACGTACTCACCCTTACTGTTCCATTTTAAGACTACAAAACATAAAACACGTCGGTTTTAATCCAAAGTTTTCATTAAGATTTCTTTTACGTCATGACGTCTTTAACGGAACAAAAGATTCCTTAAAAGTGAACAAGATCCGTGTGCACTTTTCTTTTAAATGGATGCGACGATTCCAAATTTGACAAGCACTAAACACAAAAAAGAAAGCCCGCAATAAAAAGTTTTAATTTCCGCAATTCTTCGGCACTGGTTCAATATCAAATCTTCTTAGCCATAATATAGCTGGTATTAATTTCACTTCACATAAAAAAAATCCCTCGAAATAAGAGCTAGATATTCAAATTTTCATAACATAAAAAGTTTTAAAGAGTTTTAGCTCAACTTTTTTTCCACTTTATGTTCGCTGGTGAAAACTGATATCAAGTCTCGTGTCTTAAAAAGGATTTTAACAACCATTAGATCACTCCAAAATCAGTATCGAATTTACAAATCAACTTTTAAAGAGCTCGGCTTTAAGACGTTGAGTTTCCCCCGATCTGTGGTTCCTGAGACCGATCCAGCTGACTAGCGAGAGCTTTGATCGTTACTAACGGTGATCCGTCATAACGTCCTGTATTCGAGCCGATACTCCACTCAAATCCAATAGCCAACATAGAACTAGAGTTTATAATCCCACTTCTGACATCAGTAGACTGACTCGCCGTCTGTTTCCCACAGGCACTGTATTGAACATATATCGTGTAGTAGTTGTAGTAAGCCAGAAATCACACAGAGTTGTAAAGCGGCACTTTAATTGACACAGTGGCACTTTATACCCGAGTATCTTTTAGTAGGACTGGTGATACCCTCCAGGGGTAATCCTGGTCATAGGCCTATGTCACGTGATCGATGATTTTCGATATAGATGTGAATGTGAATATTTATGATGCATAAATCGTAACAATCGGTTGTTTACATTGAATTAATTAGCTGGAAACGATAACCCAGAATTACAGCATGTTGTGTGATCCATAATAAAGTTGAATGGCTATACACTGATTAAATTCAGACAAAATTCATAACCGAAGCAGGTATATAATTTGACTCTTGATTTGAAATCTTGTTGAAACTCGCCCTTTCTCTAAACAGCATAGATGGGTGTGCGATAGATGTCATATTTTTAGGAAGTTGGATGGGGGGCGGGGGCACTACTATTTACTGTCAAAAATATGCTTAGTGTGTTTTGTGTTCGTTGTGTTTTACGTGGGGTGGGGTTAACCCAAACACCGCCCGGGTGGCACAGACTAGTTGTGGCAATGTTTGCCGGATTTCACTTATAACATACAATACAACACATTATATAATTCTGTATGTAGCCTGGAGAAATAATTTACAACGAACAGAAGTTATTCCTATTGTAATCTGTTCTAGCATATATCGTTTGTATATATCAACTTAATGCATGTTATTGTTGGTCTTATATACTATAGTAAGTAATAAGTATGTCATTATGAGGGTGTGAATCATCTAATATAGTCTATATAGTATGTCTGGTATGACAATATAGGTAAAACTGGTAGGTAAACGTCTTATATACTGCAAAATGATAAATTAACACGTCCTTAAGAAATCCCTTGTTCGTGAATTCTTTAGGACTTTAGGTCAAGACATGTGTAAAATTATATCTTTTGTAACCGGAACAAGTGGGTTTATGAATTGATTCATTCTGGCTATGTTTTTCATCAGGTAGAGAATTTACCTTTTCGTGTGCACGTCTTATATGAATATGTACTATAAAGTTTCTTCATGCATAGTAGACTCGGCGAATGTCTGGTATGGCAATGGGTACTAAATGTCTCGCCAATTGCAGTAGAGCCAGTCACTACGGATCTACAGTAAACATTAGAAACACAACACAAGCTGAATGTGCATGTTTATTATTGTGCTGTAGGTGGGAAAGAGTTGTATTATATTCCTTAAAACTATACATAAAACCAACCCCGTTATTGTTTTATATTAAACTATACATGTACATAAAACCAATCCCGTTATTGTTTTATATTACACTATACATAAAACCAACCCCGTTATTGTCTTATAATTGTTTTATATTAAACTATACATAAAGCCAACCCTGTTATTGTTTTTATATTAAACCATACATAAAACCAACCCCGTTATTGTCTGATAATTGTTTTATATTAAACTATACATAAAACCAAACCCGTTATTGTTTTATATTAAACTATAATACTTGTACAGTAGAATCTGTATGAGCAGCCACTCCTATTCAGCGACATCTCCTTGTAAGCGGTCACGATAAATTCCCCCCGTAGAAATTCTGTTGTTTCATCTCTTTATTCAACGGTCACTCCTCTAACGCGGCCAGCGGTCACTATTTTACTAATAAATTCAACAAAACATCGCCCATTCAACGGCCATTGTTGAATGATACCATCTTGTCGTTCTTTGTAACACCCCCGCTAATCCCGTGAGTAGTAGTTAATTAACTGGACCCCCACTGATCAGGTAAAAAGAAATGTAAACATAACAATCAACCCGGGATTATCTGTTAATTAATCTTTTGTTTTATTAAACGACTAACCTGATCATTGTTTTCACGCGTAACGACACATTATTTGATACTGATTGAATAAAATAAAAGTACCGAGTTTTGTCACGATCATCTAGTATCTCTCTTAGCGCCTCCTATAATATTACATACAGAGTTACACCCCCTGTAAATAGGAGATAAAATTAGCGATGTTTTTTGTTCATGTGCTTTTTTGATAAAATAAAATGAATTCATCGATTTTCTTCACAAAAATGGATAAATATTATCGAATGCATCACAATGGTAGACAGTAGTATCGAAGGTTGGTACAAAATGACAAGTTTACAGAAGTTATGTCCGAGATTTGAGTAAAGAATTTTCGTCCGGCGCAAGATTCAGCGACGGCCAAATTTACCGCTTCCAATGCATCCAAGCGTAATATTTAATTTATGTCGGCACAAAAAGCAACGAGATTTTATTAAGAGGCCACTCCCGTTAAGTTATGTTCGAGATTTGAGTAAAGAATTTTCGTTCGGCGCAAGATTCAGCGACGGCCAAATTTACCGCTTCCAATGCATCCAAGCGTAATATTTAATTTATGTCGGCACAAAAAGCAACGAGATTTTATTAAGAGGCCACTCCCGTTAAGCGGTCAGTTGTGAAAATTCCCTTGGGTGGCTGTATATAAAACCAAATCCATTATTGTTTTATATTAGACTATATCTAAAAACAACCCCGTTATTTTTCTATGTTAAACATATACATTATGAAAGAGCTAAATCTGCCTATTGCAGGTCTTTCATTAAGCCTGAAATGTTATATAAATTATTAATTAGACATTTATTAACATGAAAAGACCATAATCAACTCTCGAGTCCAATTTTCATTAGATTTGAATCCGATCTGCCATGTGATTAACCGTAAAAATGGATAATCCTGACTTCGTTTATTATCGTAACAACGGTAGTAATGACGATCGAGGCTAGCCTAAAATTGAATCGCTAAAATCTAGGTTCAGAATGAAGCAATTTGACTGAAAATTTCAGCATATTCCCTATTCATTATCTATTTTGTAACTATTACAACGAGAACTGTCAGCTCTATTTAATCTTACCCAACGCCCCTTTAAACTATATCTAAAAACAACCCGATAGTTCTATTTTAGACTAAATCTAAAAAATAAACCCATTATTTCTCTGTATTAAACTACATATAAAAACAACCTCGTTAGTATTTTATCTAAAATATGGAAATGTAATGCATCTTCAGCTGTGTGTATTGATACGTCAGAAATTTGATCAGTATGGTGAGAGTTTAAGAAGTGGTGTTTTGTTTTTTTTTTGGGGGGGGGGGTAATAGCTTAAATTAACAATGCGTGGTTTGCATTTTTTGAAAAATGCCTAATTTTTGCACGGCTTAATCCACGATAACATGTACTCAGATTGATTATTTAACATTTAATTTTGAAAACAAAATCTGGTTTATGGTAAATTAAGATGTCGGTCGTCTTGTTACATTGGGAGCAGCATAGATCGATGGAATTTTCAACTCGTCATATCTTTGTAAATATTATAAATTCGATCTTCACAGCATTTCAGTTTGCAAGGGATGCTATAGCGCTTAAATGTCGCACTGGGCCTTTAATGTAAGGTGGTACTGGGATATTTCTTCTTTTGTCTTGAAATCAATATCCTAGCGGAAAGTTTCATCTATTCTGTTTTTAAACCAGACCTTCTATGCAAATGAAACGGAAACGTTAATGAATGACACAGCCAATTTACGCAGTTCGAAAGTCTCATATATAGGGTGTGTAGACGTTCGGAGATTAAGGCCAGAAAGGGCTTTACGTAACTCAAGAACTTTCAAGTCCTATTCGTAATATTTGGATTATACAGACTTGTTCCACCTAGACACAAATATGAGTAGCAGCGAGGACTCTGGTCCCCCAGCACAAATGAGAACTGTATGTATTTTTGTACTAGCCCCATATAGGGTCTAGTCGTCACCAGCCCCGTAGCACTGCCCCCCCCCCCCGAAACAGGCAGCGGTCTTGTTTATTGTCCAATATTTCCGCCGGGCTCCGTTTCTCACTCAACCAGCTCGCTTGACAAGAATCGCGAACCGATATCATCGGGCCCAGACTGGCAGTGGGACCCCCTTCCCACTGGTCCCGTCTCTACGATAGTTTTTTCTGCTTAGAACTAAGTATATGACTTCACACCCAGGATATACTCCACAGACCACCATTTCAGGTCGAAATTTCAAAACATTTCTCGGGGGAAAGACCCCCGGACCCTTTAAACCCCAAGAGGAGAGACCCCCCCACCCCCCTTAGGGTCTCATCTTGTCCCTGGGGTCCGGCAGCTAGATTGCCTCAGGGCCCGGTGACTTCATGATCCGTCGCTTGGGAGGACCCCGGTAGTCCCCTTCGTATGGGGGGGAGAGAATTTTCTCTCCTGTCGTCCCTGTCTTCTGAGCAGTTGGTGTGTGACCACAATCAACCGTTCATGACCGCAACCAATGGGTTGGTCTTGACCAAGTTCTAAACGCTTTTGATATTTTCCCTGAAAAGCAACACGATGCTTCAGAAAGAAATATATAGAATAAATACGTTTCAAGGACTAAAATATATTTGGGACGACTCCCTTTAATGAGTCATTGCTTATAAATATCAAATTGTAATCATGCACTCCAATTGTGCGAAATCAAAAGGCGGATTTAGACAGATATTTTCCTCGAAGGTGGACAATGAGACATTTTGACAAGAAAGGAATATGTATACGGTACGTCTTTAATACTACGTGAAAAGATTGTAAAGACGTCTGGAGACTCAGACACACCAGTGGCCATAAGTAACTATTGAAGTGGGCGATCATCAGATCTAGAACCTGAAAGAAGCAACTTGAGACTAAGACATTCCAGTCTGAGATCTGACAAAATTATCTGACGTATGCCGCTTAAAACTGTACAGTGATAAGATATCGAAGTATATAAAATGATATTGGAAATTTTTACATAAGCATTCAAGTGTTGGTGCCTTTAAACTGGCCACTGATAAAGTATTGAATGGGTGAAATGGGGTTTGACGTTCTACTTGTCCCTACCAATCTGGATAACGAGGGCGGGAATACGTCATACAGTGTACTATCAGGGAACTTTTGTCCCGGCAGCAATTGAATTCAGGCTGTCAAGGTTATTTTACGTGCTCACATATGTGCACAGGGGACCTCGGGTTTTCTTCCCACACAAACGACTATGCGCTTTTCATTGCCAGACCAAGTCCTGTTCAAATAAGGGGAAATCACGCTGGAAAACCCCTGG